CAAAAACCCGAATAAAACTTACACTCCAAGCCTTCACAGCTTAGTGTTAAGCTGTGTTACATACCTGAAACTTCCTTCCTAGTGAAGTAAATAATCACAGCCTCTACTTCACTCAAACACAAAACACAGAATGTACATTACTCACCAAAGTATACAGTCTTGTGCTACTAACAAACACTGTATTTTACTATTTGGAAATTTTACCCTTAGAAATATATCTACATCAATACAATTTCCCATTATCAACCTTATTTTATTGATAATGATAGAGTAATCATCTTGTCTAAAATTTGTCTAATGCCATTCACTATTTGTTGTTCAGCACTGACTGTTTAACTGTGCAAGTTAAAATTCACAGCAAATTTTGTGCTGCTGCTTAACATTCTTAATATTGTCATCAAACTAATGTTGCTACCTATCTTGCCTTACACTAATGGCACTCAAACATGGCCTCCTGTCTGCATGATAATTGTTTTATATCTATTTCATTATTTTGCACGATAAAAAACAGATGCACAATCATCTCATTTGTTGTGTTTTGTGTGTGTGTGTGTGTGTGTACTCGCCTAGTTGTGCTTGGGGGGCTGAGCTCTGGCTCTGATACCGCCCCTCAACTGTCAATCAACTGTGTGTATACTCACCTATTTGTGCTTGCAGGATTGAGCATTGACTCTTGGATCCCGCCTTTCTAGCTATCGGTTGTTTATAACAATGACTGGTCCAATTTCCCTATCATACTTAGTTTTAAAATTATGAATAGAGTTTGCTCTATTCATAATTTTATGAATTCTACAACCTGCTCCTTAAGTGAATTCTATTATTCCACTACTCTCACGCTAAAAGAAAACTTCCTAACATCTCTGTGACTTATCTCAGTTTCCAGCTTCCACCCATGTGTGTGTGTACTCAACTATTTATTTTTGTGTGTGTGTGTGTGTGTGTGTGTGTGTGTGTGTGTGTGTGTGTGTGTGTGTGTGTGTGTGTGTGTGTGTGTGTGTGTGTGTGTGTGTGTGTGGAGAGAACGATTGAGAGAGGCATACACAAGAAAAGTAAGAGACAGGAGAGGACAGTGTTGATTTAAAAGATAAGGTAGGCCTACTTAGCACAGCACATATCTTAAATGACACAAGGAACCGCATGAAACATTGCTTCATTAACAAGGATAAGGAGGTAGTAACCAACACTTGTGCATCTTTCAGTTGCACGAGTTCCGGAACCTGCACGAGGACAGGATCAAGTATCTGCTCAACAACTATCGTCCTGTACAGGTCCAAGGCTCTCGGAAAGTCTGCGCTCACCACAACTACGTGCCTCGCCGGGTCGTCGCTTGCACCAAGCAATGATATCGTCCCATCTCTCCTCTCACACTGATATCGTCCCATCTCTCCTCTCACACTAATATCGTCCCATCTCTCTCCTCATCTCACACAGATATTGTCCCCTCTCTCTCCTCTCCCTCGCCTCTCACTCTTCATTTGTCTTGGGCTGTATTTTGTTTCTGCTCATTACAGTACTGTACAGTACTTCATTTCATTCACATCCAACTTGTGTCTAAAATTTCTGGCAAAATTTCACGATGAGTGACTCTTTTTAAACTTTTTGTTTTTGTTTTAATGTGACTCCCGTGTCAGCCTAGTGTCAGTACCCTTAAGGCCTTGTCTTACCCTCTGACTCACTCTGTCACCCACTTAGGTGGTGTTATCTTTGAATCTCGTTTTAACATTGTGATAGAATGAAATCAAATGAAGTCAAATTATATGTAGTATTTTTCACTAACTCTGACCTTCAATCTTCTCTTGTTTCATGAAGACCTTTCCCCGACTCTTTCTTACTGAAAGTGGCATTTCATCCAGTTGACATCATTCAATTCTGGTAGCCACGTTCCATTCAGACAAAAGCAATCACTCAGCCAGTATCACCTTGTCGAACCTTTGCTACATTTACATACTTTGACGAATAAACAATTTGATAAGCAGTAATTAACCCTTGTAATGTGGCCTTGTCTATCTGTGATTCCTTATTACTAATGATTATGATGGAAAATTACATTCACTGATTGCAGGATATCGGTGTGTGTAATAAATGTACGATTGTATTCTCACAAGCTTTGTGGGAATTCTTTTTTAAGACATTTCCTTGTATGTTTTAGCTGGTTTTGTTCCTAAATACTTATACAAATTAAAATGTTATATATATATTTATATGAATCAAATTAAGATGCAAATTATTTATTACATTTTAATTATAAAGTTTATACCCACATTTTTTAAGTTTATATTAAGAGTTTTCAGCTTTTGTATTTGTATTCATGACCTACATATTGAGCAGGGTTAATTTGTCACTGTGTCAAGTGGTTGGGACACTATGATCATGGGGGGAGCATGATCATAGTGTCCCAGTCCCCTATTTTATGTGTGTGTTTCCAGGTATACAGGTACAGTACTTATTTATATAAAGATTATTGCAAAAATATTGTTGTTGTATTTTTAACTCGGATCCTAATTGATTTGGTGCATGACCAAGTGTGTTATTCTTTATTATTCTTATTTATTTGTACTATTACTGTTGTGATATTGATTTTATTTGTTCATATTCAGTATTATAAACTGAATGACCATTGACATACATTGAGTCTCCATTATTTTTCATAATAGTGTGCATGTAATTAATATTTAAATGACAGTAATACAAAGCAGTGTATGGCCAATACTCAGTTTAACAGCAACACAAGCTTACTGAGTTGCTTTACTGATAACTTCATTATCTTTCTTCTATTGATGGGATAACATTATATTATTATTATATTTACTTAGTTGGGGTACCCAGGTGTCCGCCCCCTCCTCACACCACTCACTCCCAGGTGTCCCCCCCCTTTCACACACACTCCCCCAGGTGCCCTCCCTTCACACTACTGTACCAGATGTTCCCCCCTCACTTTCCCAGGTGTCTCCCCCCCCCTTCACACACACACTTCCCCAGGTGCACCCCCTCACCCTTTCACACACACTTCCCCAGGTGCCCTCCCTTCACACTACTGTACCAGATGTTCCCCCCTCACTTTCCCAGGTGTCTCCCCCCCCCCCTTCACACACACACTTCCCCAGGTGCACCCCCTCACCCTTTCACACACACTTCCCCAGGTGCCCTCCCTTCACACTAGTGTACCAGGTGTTCCCCCCTCACACTCCGTGGTGTCCCCCCCCTTCACACACACTCCCCCAGGTGCACCCCTCTCACACTCCCAGGTGTCCCTCCTCACACTCCCAGGTGTGTCTCATTTTTAAAATGCTGAACAATTTGGAGGATGTTGATCTGGACAATTTCTTCAGGTCAGATGTAACACAGGCAAGGCACAACGGTTTCAAACTCAACAAACCACAGTGTAGGACTGAGAACAGGAGATGGTTTTTCACCCACAGGGTTATAAACCCATGGAACCACCTACCCATTTTAGCTGTAAATGCCAAAACTGTTAAATTTTTAAATCTAGCTGGAAAAGATAATCAATGCAAATAGGGGGCAGGGGGGACCATTGACAACCACTGGCTTCCTGTCTTCGTTGAGGCCACTAGTGTTAATGGCCCTCAGGTAAATTCAGGTAAAATATGCTCCTTGGTGTCCACACAAGCAAGTTATTAATAACAATAACAACACTTTACAGCTATACATGAGAATACACATTTGTACAAGATCGGTGCCCAAATATCTTAATCTTGGTAGATATATTGGTGATTGTATGGGTAGTATCAGGCTGGGGGTTGAGGGCGATCCCCATTACACTTTTGGAGGAAGATCAGCCCCTATACCCCTTTCACAAAGTTGGTGGATAGGATATGTTCTGATTTGAGTTCGTAAGGTTTAGAATATATTTAAATATTAGTGTAATAAGATACTGACATGCAAAGTGTATATTCAGATGACAGATTTGCATTGTGTAAGGGAGTTTTACCCGAATTTACCTGAGAGACGGTCGGCCGATCGGACAGCACACTGGACTTGTGATCCTGTGGTCCCGGGTTCGATCCCGGGCGCTGGCGAGAAACAATAGGCAGAGTTTCTTTCACCCTATGCTCCTGTTACCTAGCAGTAAAATAGATACCTGGGTGTTAGTCAGCTGTCACGGGCTGCTTCCTGGGGGTGGAGGCCTGGTCGAGGACCGGGCCGCAGGGACACTAAAGCCCCGAAATCATCTCAAGATAAGCTCAAGATAGGCCCACTAACACTAGTGACCTCGATGAGGACAGGAAGTCGTTGGCTTGTCAAAGATCCCCTCTGCATTTGCTTTGATCTTTTCCAGTTTGATTTTAAAATTTAAAAGTTTTGGCATTTATGGCTTCAGCGGGTAAGTGGTTCCATGGGTTTATAACCCTGTGGGTGAAAAACCATCTCCTGTTCTCAGTCCTATATTCTGGTTTGTTGAGGTTGAAACTGTTGCTCATTGTCTGTGTAACTTCTGACCTTTTGTCTGAACATACTCAAAATTGTTCAGCATTTTAAAAGTTTCAATAAGATCGATCTTGTCATGCCTAATATTGTGTGTTGTTAGCCCTGTGGCCCCTCAACCGTTCCCGACACGTGAGTTGATTAGGTCTGGAATGATTTTTCAGCAGGATTGATGTATAACAAACCCATGTTGTGTCCATTTTACACAATTGTTCACTGAATGAGGGTGAACGATTCCCTCCCTTACAGTTCTCTCAGTGAGTTTGCAGATGTGTGATATGTACTTATCTGTACTTATAATTTATAAATGTAACATTTAAATTCTAAGGCCAATCATATGAAGTTTGAATGTATATACAGTATATATGTAATATTTATTATAGTTTCAACCAAAAGTTGTATCAATGTCTTACCTTCCCTTGCTCTCTCCCCCTCCACCCCCCTTTTGACTTCTCTTACACTTCCCCTACTTTTAACATTCTCACTTACTTGCTCCTCTGAATCAGCTTATGCCATTCCAGAGTTGACCTAAAGTAATGTATCAATTCTTTCCACAGTTGAGGAACTTCCGGTCTCTGATTGATGAACATCACGAGAATCTTGTCAACAACTTCCGCCCTCCTCAGCCTCTCAACAACCGCAAGGTATTTGTCTCCTGCCCTCGTAAGCTCCGCAAGAGGTTGCACCATCCTGCAGGTGCAAAGTAGATGCCACATGCCTGCAGAAGAAATAATAGCTACTTCAGCTGTATATAGTGAGAGCGTATCACACTAACCTTAATACCTAAGTGCTTTTTCTTGAGTCTGTCCACAGTAACAGCCATGCACCATTCACTGGTATGATTTCAGTTTGAAAGTACTACTTCCACACAAAAATAACAAATGAAAGTATATTACATTTAAATTTACAGTGTTATTTGCAGCATGCACACATGCATTTGCATGCAACCATGCACAGAAGCATGAGCACATGTTACTACGTGCACGCACTCATACACACAAAAACACACACACACAGACGTACACAGTTTACAGTTCTCCATCAATCCTTTACTGCCTCAGAAGACTGAAAGAAAGAATGAACTATATTTGTTGATACAGTATAATAATATTGAAAAATGCATGCAACAATTCCTAGCTTGCAAGTTATCATTACCAAGCTTACAATTTATTAATGCCAAGCTTGCAATTTATCAATGCCAGTCTGCTGCCTGTCAGTGCTCATGTTACCACCATACAATGTTCAGCTTCTTACCTGCCAATACCCATGAATGTTCAAGACTGCATTATATGAACCATCATATGGCAAAAATATGCTTGAAAATTGATGTAAATGCATTTAAACACACACATACACACATGTGCACGCATGCACACACATGCACGCATATGCACATACATGCACACACTATGAGGAGAGACTACAGGAATTAAACCTCATGTCACTGGGAGACACAAATTAGAGAGGACATGATCATCACATACAAGATTCTCAGAGGAATTGATAGGGTTGATAAAGACAGACTATTTATCACAAGGGGTACACGCACTATGGAACATAGTACGTGTGCCCCTTGTGCACTCAAACTGAGTGCCCAAATGAGCCACAGAGACGTTAGAAATAATTTTGTCAATGTCAGAGTAGTAGACAAATGGAATGCATTAGGAAGTGATGGGGTGGAGGCTGACTCCATACACAGCTTCAAGTGTAGATATGATAGAGCAAAGTAGGCTCAGGAACCTGTACATTAGTTGATTGACAGTTGAGAGGCGGGACCAAAGACCCAGAGCTCAACCACCGCAAGCACAACTAGGTAAGTGCAACTAGGAAAATACACATGCACGCACCCACAAACTGAAGGAATGGTTCAACAAATGACAATTAAGAGTTTAACCCAAGCAAATATAAAGTAATGAAAATAGGTGTAGGAAGCAGGAGGCCAGCTACAAGGTACCATTTGGGAGATGAAATTTTTCAAGAATCAGAGTATGAAAGACCTGGAGATTGTTATCATACCACACCTGTCCCCTAAAGCCCACATCAAGAGGATATCATCAGCAGCATATGCTAGGTTGGCCAACATAAGTACAACCTTTAGAAACTTGTATAAGAAATAATTCAGAACCTTGTATACCACATATATCAGACCAATCCTGGAATGTGCAGCTCCAGCATGGAGTCTAACTCGTCAAGCACAAGTGTAAATTGGAGAAGGTTCAGAGGTATGCCACCAGACTAGTACCCAAGCTGAGGGGCTGAGCTATGAGGAGAGACTATGTGAACTAAAAGTCATGTCGCTGGAAGACATGAAGAGTTAGAGACATGATCACCACATATAAGATGTCCAGAGGAATTGATAATGTAAAGACAGTTTATTTAACACAAGAGGACACAGGAGGAAATTTAATACCCAAATAAGCCATAGAGACATTAGAAAGAACATTTTTAATGTCAATAGTTAACAAATAGAATGCATTAGGAAGTGATGTTATGGAGGCAGACTCCATACACAGTTTCAAATGTAGATATGATAAAGCCCAATAGACTCTGGAATCTGTACACGTTAATTGAGTCGAGAGGTGGGACCAGTCAAAGCTCAACCCCCACCAAGCACAACTATTCTAGTACACACACACATATACACATACAGCGAGCCGAAAGCCAATAAGGATGGTAGCCCACAGATAAATTTATATTGGTTTGAGTGCATTTATATAGATTTAAGTGCATTTTTTACTGGTGTAGGTGCATGTATTGTATAGTGGTTTAAGTGTATTTTACATACACCACATGCAAGACACTTTAGTTTGAGTTTAATAGAAATATGTAGATATTAGTTCTAGTTTGATAGAAATATGTAGACATTAGTTTTAGTTTAATAGAAATATGTTAAGACACTTTATTGTGAATTTAATTTAATACTGAACATGACCAATTACTCTCTCAATACACCACTGCAGATTTTTATTAAAGCTTTGCAGAACTTGTCGACAAGATGTCCGAGTCTTATTCAGAACATTTGTGGTAAAACTTTCATATGAAAACAAATACAGTACATATAAACACACACACACACACTAGGCGGGACCAAAGAGCCAAAGCTCAACCCTTGCGAGCACAAATAGGTGGGTACACACACATGATAACAGTTGTCATATTCATTTTGTTTACAGTACGTATTCCATGAAGCAGTATACCGATACATATATATATATATATATATATATACATTCATTTACCTTACGATGTTAATGGGAAACATTAGGCACAAGAGCACTTGTTTAATATAGTACACTACAGAATTACTAAAATTATTGTTGTCCAACATCAGAGCCCTTTTATACTTCATGGTTTGTTATTTTGTTATCGATAAATTGGAGACGACAGATGACTTTTCTACATATACAAGTTCAGTATGCCTGCTATATATATGTTTAATGTACAGTACTTGCATTTATTACTGTCTTTCATAATTTAATATATATATATATATATATATATATTTGTGTAATTGTCATGTTTTCAAGGAGTAGCATTTTGCCTTCAGTGAAAAAAAAGTGCCAAATACAGAATTTATAATCATTTTTAAGCTATCAGAACTATATATATATATTATATATATATATATATATAAAATACTGTACATATTAAAATGTTACATTCTTCAACAAAGTATTTAAAGAAATTATTCTTATCTGGCAATGCATAGAAAACATGACATGTACATTACATTGATTTTTCTTGGATTTACTGTCCCCTAAGTTAATACAACATTTATAGGCTACATTGGTTTTACAACATGTTATTTTCTTAACATCCTAAACATTGTATATATACTTATTCTTCAATTTATTAGTGGACCCTTATATAACAAGCTTTGATGTTTTGCATTTGTGATGAATTGTAATTATCTTTTAGAGATCCACAATTTTAATCATCTGGATTATTATTGCATAGCTTGCACTTGTTCTCTTTGGATCCTTGAGAGTTCCCTGATCTTGACTTCCTCAGTCCAGGGGTACCTAGTTCTGCTGAATTTTCCTGGCTGTGTTTCTCTGATCAGCTCTGTTTTAATGTTTCTCCCAAATTCCTGACACAAAATACATTATGGAGCAAAGCACATGCCTCCCCTAACACATTTTCTCTCACACACATATCTTACCCACCCCTACCAAAACATACTGCCGGAACAACCGTGGACATGTTCAAGAGGAAACTAGATTTATTCCTCCAAGGAATGCCGGACCAACCGGGCTGTGGTGGGTATGTGGGCCTGCGGGCTGCTCCAAGCAACAGCCTGGTGGACCAAACTCTCACAAGTCAAGCCTGGCCTCGGGCCGGGCTTGGGGAGTAGAACAACTCCCAGAACCCCATCAACCAGGTATACTAACACACACACACCCACCCACCTACACACTCACTATCCCATTCACATTACCATTCATTTCTGACCTCAATTCAATGTTTCTTCAAAATAATATGTATGACCTACGTGCACTCCACCCATAACCCTCTTCATCCACCATATTCCCCTCCCCCCTCCACACACACCAATCCACACCCCCACCCCTCAAATGCCCCATCCCAAGCCCACATAGAAATGTATTATATCTCTAAGCATAACTATTTTTTCCCAATGTCATTCATAATATAAACTTCAATTTAAAAATATGCCATGCCCCAGGACTGTTATGTAAGGATCCACTGTTTACCTAGATAATACACACATAATTTTTTATTATTATTTATATATATATATATATATATATATATATATATATATATATATATATATATATATATATATATATATATATATATATATATATATATATATGATAGCCGAGGCTATTTGAACCACCCCACCGCCGGCACTCGGATAGTAATCTTGGGCATAGCATTTTACCAAATCACCTCATTCTTTGGGGCACACGTGAGGAACACAAATGCGAACAAGCCTGAATGGTCCCCAGGACAATATGCAACTGAAAACTCACACCCCAGAAGTGACTCGAACCCATACTCCCAGATGCCACGCAACTGGTATGTACAAGACGCCTAATCCACTTGACCATCACGACCGGACATAATGAGGTGATAGCCGAGGCTATTTGAACCACCCCACCGCCGGCACTCGGATAGTAATCTTGGGCATAGCATTTTACCAAATCACCTCATTCTTTGGGGCACACGTGAGGAACACAAATGCGAACAAGCCTGAATGGGGTGATTTGGTAAAATGCTATGCCCAAGATTACTATCCGAGTGCCGGCGGTGGGGTGGTTCAAATAGCCTCGGCTATCACCTCATTATGTCCGGTCGTGATGGTCAAGTGGATTAAGGCGTCTTGTACATACCAGTTGCGTGGCATCTGGGAGTATGGGTTCGAGTCACTTCTGGGGTGTGAGTTTTCAGGTGCATATTGTCCTGGGGACCATTCAGGCTTGTTCGCATTTGTGTTCCTCACGTGTGCCCCAAAGAATGAGGTGATTTGGTAAAATGCTATGCCCAAGATTATATATATATATATATATATATATATATGTGTGTGCATGTTTACATATAGTGCCTTACTAAATAATATATAATGTATATACATGTGTGTATAAGATAACCATTCTCTTCAAAAATATATTTTTCTTTT